TGGGCGAGCGCGCCGGGCGCGCGCGGCGAGTACGAGGAGCTGGGCGGCGTGGAGCAGCACGTGCGCTACGAGACCACCGGCCCCGCGCTCTGCACGGTGGTCTTCCTCCTCGTCTACTTCTTCGGCATGGCCAGCTCCATCTGGTGGGTGATCCTGTCGCTCACGTGGTTCCTGGCGGCCGGCATGAAGTGGGGCAACGAGGCCATCGCGGGCTACTCGCAGTACTTCCACCTGGCCGCCTGGCTGGTGCCCAGCGTCAAGTCCATCGCCGTGCTGGCGCTCAGCTCGGTGGACGGCGACCCGGTGGCCGGCATCTGCTACGTGGGCAACCAGAGCCTCGACAACCTGCGCGGCTTCGTGCTGGCGCCGCTCGTCATCTATCTCTTCATCGGCACCATGTTCCTGCTGGCCGGCTTCGTGTCGCTCTTCCGGATCCGCTCGGTCATCAAGCAGCAGGGCGGCCCCACCAAGACACACAAGCTGGAGAAGCTCATGATCCGCCTGGGCCTCTTCACCGTGCTCTACACGGTGCCTGCCGCCGTGGTCGTCGCCTGCCTTTTCTACGAGCAGCACAACCGGCCGCGCTGGGAGGCCACGCACAACTGCCCGTGCCTGCGGGACCTGCAGCCGGACCAGGCGCGCAGGCCCGACTACGCCGTCTTCATGCTCAAGTACTTCATGTGCCTGGTGGTGGGCATCACGTCGGGCGTGTGGGTCTGGTCGGGCAAGACTCTGGAGTCCTGGCGCGCGCTGTGCACTCGCTGCTGCTGGGCCAGCAAGGGCGCGGCCGCGGCCGCGGGCGCGGGGGGCGGCGGCCCGGGGGGCGGGGGCGGGGGCCCCGGCGGGGGCTCGCTCTACAGTGACGTCAGCACCGGCCTGACGTGGCGCTCCGGCACGGCCAGCTCCGTGTCCTACCCTAAGCAGATGCCACTGTCCCAGGTCTGAACCCCGAGCGGGCGCCGGGGGACCCCGCAGCGGCCGGGGTTCCCACCCCGGCACAGTGTTGATTGCTATTAGCATGATAATGAACTCTTAATGGTATCCATTAACCGCGGGACTTAAGTGACTCCCTTAGAACAAAGTACCTGGCAGTGAGGCCGCGCGGCCCCTCCCCGCCCCTCCGACGCTCTCGAGCGCCTCCCCCGCCCCCCCCCCGGGCCGCGGCGTCCGCCCGCTGGAGAGTCGCCCCCCCACCCCGGGGGCCCGGGTCGAGCCGCGAGGTCGCGCCTCAGACCTCACTCGAGGGACCGCTTCGCCCGAGACCCGACCTGCATAAGTTCCCTCCTCACACACCCTAGACGGGGACGAGAGCTGCCTGGTGGGACCACGGTTCGGGCACCCTGAGGACCAGGCAGAGGCCTTAAATAAACAAGAGATGTCTTAATTACACGCCCCAAGTAAATACGGGTTTCTTACACTAGAGGATGTATTTATATAATTATTTGTTAAATTGTAAAAACAAAACGTGTAAAATATGTATATATCCAAAGATATACAATGTGTACATTATTTGTAAAAAGTTTAGAGGCTACCCCTGTAAGAACAAATATAAGTATTCTATTTTGTCAATAAAATGACTTTTGATAAATGACGATTTAAATGCCGCCCTGTCCCCCACCCCTTCTGAACTGTTCCCCTTTTGCTTGCTGAGGACAAGTGGGGGACATGGACATTTTCTGGTTTGCCATTCTGTACTAACTTTAGGCATGGAGACAATTACCTGTTAACGTCTAGTTCTTAAACTATTAGCAAAGTAAAATGTCATTGTTGAATTGAAATCAAGACCGCGTTCTTTGCACTTTGCCCAAAGATGGCGTGTGTCACCGTGGGTGCCAGCTCTGCTTGTGTGTGGTGAGTGTGTTGCAAGTGGCAGTGTTCTGCTCGGTCAAGCCCTGCGTGGGATCTGCTGCGCGCGGTTGTGAACGCCCCGACCTTCCGCAGACCCGGCCACACTCTGAATCGTGGGGGTTAGCCCTGGGGCCACAGGTCAGCGCTGCCCTGTGGGCAGGTGCTGGCTGACAGATGAAACGAAGGGGTTAACTCCCCAACAGCGTTCCGTGCTTGTGTATTCCAAGTGTGCTGCTTTTCCTGGAGGAAAAAAAGCTATTGTTCCTCTGTCAAGACTAAGCTAATTTATTTGAACAGAAGGCTGTGGAATCAGCGGAAGAATGCACTGGCGATTGTTGAACTTTTTACCTGTCTGCCCAGTGGCTCTGCGCACCATTCCTTTTAGAGGGGCTAAATGAATAGGGTTAATCTGTAGGGAACTTGGTCTTTTGAGTTGGAAAAACTTTGATCTTTTCTCCTCTCCGAATGTGCTGTGTAGTCTGAAGTTTCTCTCCCTGCTGCCTGGCTCCTCTTGGTGCAGACCAATTGGCCACCGCGGAGCCTTAACGCTCTTCCATTAAAGGGATGTGGGACTTTTACTTTAAAAAGGAGAGGCAGAGAGGGAGAGGAAGACTTGTAACAGTTCGTGAAGACCAGAGGCGGAGTGCCTCAGCCTTTTCAACAGCTTTCCCCGGCTTTGTTAGCCAGCCCGCAGGCAGCTAGGCCCGGGCCGAGCAGTATAGAAAAGGCTCTGAATGCCCCACAGGTGGTCTGCGCCAATAATCCCCCAATTTAAAGCGGTTTCCTTTGCTGGACAATTGCATTACAAAACTCCCTTCTTTTTCACTCCTAATTGAACCAATGAACTATTATAAACTACAAGTTTTTCTTTAAAAAAAAATCTTCTGCCTAAATTCTATTGCGTAAACGCTGGCAGATTTTCCGAAGTGGACCTTTAAACCGCCTACAGGGAGGCTTCTTCAGCAGAGAGTTTCAGGTAGTTTTACTCCTTAGGCTTTTTTAATTTCTGGAAGATTAGCAATAATTTAAAAGTAATTGGTAAGGTTGTATGTGCATACTGAAAAGATAGCTCTGGGTCCCTTATTAACCTGTCAATCAAGATAAGGAACTGGCAGCTACTCTGCTGCCGACTGGAGCCCGGCGCTGTGGACGGGTGGGGCCGGCACCCTTCTCACGCGTTTGTTTCTCTGGCTTTGCTTTTCTTTTAGTGACTGCAATTCTGAACTGACAAGATGGAAGCCTCCTCTCTTGCAGCTCCTCACCGAAGGGGCATTTTTAAATTGTCCCTTGCAGAGCCACCATTTGTGTTCAATTCTAAAGTTAGAGTTGTGGTGGGAACGCACGCTGCTGCCAGGCCCGTCTTGCCTCGTCAGCAGCTTCGTTCGCAGTCACTGGCTGAGGACCGAGGTGCCTGCAGGCACTCCCGCCTGACCCTCGCACTGCCTGGACACCGTGTGACCATAAACTGGCCCTATTCAGCAAGGAGGTCAAAGCAGGGGGCGGGCCTTTATCACAGGAGCAGAAAAAAGGAGCTAAAAGTTGATGTTTCACGGCATCCTTGGTGACAACTTTCAACCCCGATAGCTTAGAGGAGCCGTTTTAATTTGAGCCCTTTACCTCCTTGACATTCCATGTAACCTTGTGAAATGCCGTATCTGATGACTTTTACAGGATGGCCCTGAGTGTGCACAGCTACACACACTTACGAATCAAGAAAAGCACGGTCCACTCTGAGGACTGAGTGAGAAGGCCGCCTGCTGCTGGCGTCAGCAGAGACTCGCTGGTTCAGGACCAGCACTGAACCACAGTGCTAGTTCTTGGCTTTAAAAGCAGAAACAGGAATCAAAAGTCAACACCCAAATGAGACCCAAAGTTGATTGTATGGGTAGGAAGAGGCAAGAAGGACCCACCCAGGCCTGTGGACATGAAACAAATGGCAGGTGATTGCCCAGATACCACGATAAGCTATGTGGTGTTCAGACGTCACATATCTGAAGGCAGACAACGTGATTGTTGTGTGACCAGAAGACTGAGGGAAATAAGATCTAATGTGATTAGAACCAACAGGAAGCCAATGCTTGTTGAAGTCACTTGTGGAGGGAATGCCTTCTTTTTTGCTTGGTAATAAAGGCATCCTGGATGGTTCCATAGACAGAAGGTGGGAAAGTTAGTAGAAAATCAGACCTTGTTGCAACTTCATTCCTTAACCTGAGGGGACCTGTAACACTTCAAAGTTTGGGGTGAGGGAATCAGATTGTCTCATTAAAAGAAAATCACACCAAGCCCACTGCAGAACAGGATCAATTTAAAGAACCCTGCAGACATTTTGCAGAGGTTCACAACAAGGGCCAGAAACCAGGCATCAGTTTCAAAAGGTCGGTACTATACCGCCATCTTGTGGTAGAGCGAGGAGAGAGCCGTTCCTCCGTTTGATTGACTGACTGAAAGAGCATCTTACCCAGGGTCCTCCTCTTTGCTTAGCTTCTTTAGGTGTACAGATTTTAAGATGCTCAATCCTCATTCAGAAAGGCAAACGGGATGGACATCGGAAGAGGGAGAAAACAGGAAACTGAACAGGAGCCTACCACAGAGGACCTCTGAAAGGCTCTACCCTGCAGAGTATCAAAGCAGATGCTGAGACTCATAGCCAAACTTTGGGCAGAGTGCAGGGAATCTTATGAAAGAAGGGGGAGATAGAAAGACCTGGAGAGGACAGGAGCTCCACAAGGAGAGCAACAGAAGCAAGAAATCTGGGCCCAGGGGTCTTTTCTGAGACTGATACTCCAACCAAGGACCATGCATGGAGATAACCTAGAACCCCTGATCAGATGTATCCCATGGCAGTTCAGTGTCCAAGTGGTTTTCCTAGTAGTGGGAACAGGGGCTGTCTCTGACATGAACTCAGGGGCTGGTTCTTTGATCACCTCCCCCTGAAAGAGGAGCAGCCTTACCTGGCCACAGAGGAAGTCCTGATGAGACCTGATAGGCTAGGGTCAGATGGAAGAGAAAGAAGGAGATCCTCCCCTATCGGTGGACTGGGGAGAGGCATGGGAGGAGAAGAGGGAGGAAGAGTGGGGGTGGGGGAAGGTTGGGAAGGGCAAGGAAGGGGGCTACAGCTGGGATACAAAGTGAATAAATTGTGATAAGTTAAAAAAAATCAATTTTTTTTTTCAAAAAGAAAAAGAAAGAAAAGGAAGCGTGAGGTGGGGCTGCGGAACGCCATTGGCTGTCCCCGAGCTTGCACAGCACGCACACGGCCCTGGGTTCCACCCAGCAGCGCATAACTCAGGTAACAGTGACACGTGCCTGTGACCCTATCGCTCAGGAAGCGGGGCATCAAGACGCGTTTCAAAGTCATCAGCAGCCACAGATGAAGTTTGGAATCAGCCTTGGGCCAGAAACTCTGAGAAAATAAAATCTTGAGAGTGTTGGCCCTGTGTCTCAGCAGGCCTGCTCAGGTCGGCACTCCTAATTTGACAGCCATCTTCTTAAGCAAAACACCCAGAGTCGCCCCAGGGTCAGGTGCCGCATCCCTGCCAGGCAGCCATGATGTTATCACCCTTGTTGAAATCCAAAGCGTTACCCTCTGCAAATGATAGTCTGAATTATTTTCATTTGTGGAATGCCAATGTGTCGGGTACATGATGACCCACTTTCATGGCAAAAAGGATGGAGCCGACTTGCTTCCTGAAGGTGTTGCTTCGCACCTTCCTGCCCATGCTCCTCAGAGCCACACAAGGACGCATTCCTGTCATCCACCCAGGAAGCACGCCAAGGAGACACTTGAAGAGGAGGCCAGCCAGGGGTGGGGAGCAACTGCATTGGCTTGTTCCAGCTCTCCAGGAAGGAGGGTGTGTGCGTGACCGGCCTGTGTAGACTAGGTGAGCGCTGTTCCAGAGCCCACCTCTGGTGGAGGCTTTTCCCTGAGAAGCAGGATAGCTGCTGGGGGTGAGAGGACACGCGGTCCGAGACCACTCCAGAGCCAGGGAATCAGAGTTGAGAGACACCTGGGCTGCTCAGGAGTCAGGGTGTGCCAGGAACCTTGACTGCAGTGCCCCACTGGCAGCAGAAGGGGGACTGAGCACTCTGGGTCTGTGCCTGATGTGGTGGTTTGAATAGTTTGGACCCCAGAGATTCATGTGTTTGGATGCTTGTGGCGCTATTAGGAGGTGTGGCCTTGTGGGCGTTGCTGTGGCCTTGTTGGAGGAGGTATGGCCTCAGTGGAGGAGGTGTGGCCTTGTTGGAGGAGGTGTGGCCTTGTTGGAGGAGGTGTGGCCTTG